GTCGGAGGTTCTGGCTCTTCAACTTCCTGATAGTACCATACAAGCGTAGATCTCATATGTGGTACGAATAGTTGATTGATCTCGTCCAGCATATCGCCCTCGAACACGTTGTCCATGACTTCATGACGTGACAGTTGCGTTGCATCCATTAAGAGTTGAAAGGCAAATTCCAAACGAGGGTCCATCTCTCCCCGTCTTGCTTTTCTCTCGCATTCTTCTCGCCGTTTCTGCAAGTACAGTATAATTTAATTAGAAAAAAATCCTAATTAGGAATATTAAATCAGCGATTAACGATGTTCAATTACATTTAAATTTGCATTTATCGCGTGTAAATTTTTAATTCAACATTCATTATTTTGGCTAATACCATATATAATAATTGAAATGAGGAGGAGTAGGTGCGATAGAAATTGATGACGTATAAAAATTCAAAACATGTGTTTAATATGTGTATATCATATATTTTTGGAAAGTTAGCCATATATTTATATATATATATATATATATATATATATATATATAAATATTATAAATTTGACAGATTTATTTATGATATATATATATATATATATATATATATATATATATTATAAATTTATTTCAAATTTATAATATTTATATATATATATATATATGTATATAAATATTATAAATTTGACAGATTTATTTATGATATATATATATATATATATATATATATATATATATCATAAATAAATCTGTCAAATTTATATTTTTTTCTAAATATATTATTGCACAAAATTTGCAACATGTCAAGTCAGTTCCATTGCGGAGGATTGACCTGGAGAATATCTTCAGGACCTTCCTCGTCGCTATCATCTTCAGAATTGCCAGATCTCTGTTTGATGATTTGTGGTCCTTGCACAAACATGGCAAAACAAGTGGAAAGTTATCCACTGCCACGTTGAAAGCTTACTAAGCAGGAAAGTGTAAACCGCACCGAAAGCCACCCTCGAACTCAGTGAATTTCTGCGAGTACATAAGGTGGTGCGAGGGGATGGCTCACAATGCCACGATTTCGTGTCTGGTACCGCCCTCCGACGCATTTCGTGTCGTGTGGGAATTTCCACGCGATTCGACCGCTACTAGTCAATATCGTAAGTATTTTCATTGAGATTCGACGAATGCTAGTTGTATTTCTATAGATCGTTGTGCTCCAACGAAAAAGTAAGTCATACTTCTCAGATCTTCGATAACTACACTATAAAAAAATATGTAAAATTACATTTAAAATATATAAAATTGATAAATAATAATTTTAAAATTGTATCATAAATAATAAAAATGTATACATTTTTATTATTTTTTGTGTTAATTTTACTTATTATTTATGTAATTTTACATATTTTTATGTAATATATTACATATTTTTTTATAGTGTATCTGTTTGCTACATCACTTAATAATACATATAATATATATATATATATATATATATATATTTGATACGTAGATCGATAACTATTTTTATTTTACAAATTGTTTTCGCACATTAAAATTTATGAATTATTTTATTCTCACTGGCATATAACATATATTATCTATATGTATTATATATGTAATCTAATCTATATCTGTAAACTTTATAAAATAATTTAAGAATTCCATGCATTTATGCATATATGCATATATTTATAGACATGTATAAATTGTATTTATATAAATCTTTTACAATTAATATATTCGAAATAATATATATTGCTACATTATTCATTAAAACTATATGTATAGAATTCTGAAATTATTTTATAAAGTTTACAGATGTATGTAGATTAGGGTATAGTTAATATATGTATATGCCAGTGAGAATAAAATAATTTATAAATTCTGTGACAAAAACAATTTGTAAAATAAAAATAGTTATTGATCTACGTATCAAATTATATTATACTCGAATTATACAATTAAAATATGAGGACGGTAATAAATTTTATAGTAATCGACACTAATCATCTCTTACGGTAATTAATTTAAAGAAAATTTTCTAAGAGTAATTTAGCACAGTTAAATTTTATCATAAAATATTGCTTTACTTGCTTCAAATTAATTTATCGAATTATTCATATGCATGCTGTAAAATTTTGAAAATAAAATGTTGAAATTTTGTCGACAAAATTTTATAAATGTTCTGTGGAAATGTTTCCATTGCAATTGGTGATAATAAATGCAATGCAAATTAGAATACCTTATCAATCATGATAATCAAATCGTGTAAGCACGCGACGTGCTGCATGCGGATGTAAGACTCATGTAAGTCTAAATATAACACACGTGATATCGCAGAATAAGCTTATCATATATAGTCTACGTAAATAGAATATTATACTCTAAAATTTGGCATATATAATAAATAATAACACACACAATTTTCGTGTATCTACGCAGCATAGAAGTGTTGCTTGCGTGCGAGCACACGATGCAATACTTCTTTATCAACCTATTTCGATAATTACTTGTGCGAAGTAATTTAATGGATGAAGTTGCAAATAGATAAAAGAAACTTTTGTAAAGTTCAGAAAATAAATCTACCTTGACAGGTTCTTTCGTAAAAGAGCGGCACGTGCTGAACTTTGTTTTAAGATTGCAACTTATGCAACTTTTGAAATATTCTACATGGCATTTCACATTACATTGTGCACAAGGCACACAAAAACATAATTGAAAAGCGTGATGTTTCTCAATGATCGTTGCTTTATCCTGGTACCGATAGGAACCAGGACATATTGCCTGACTAAATCGATAACACTCGTAAATGGCATTCCCTCATATCTAATAGACATATCTAAACTATATATTATCAATAGTTTCACATTCGCTGAATTTGCTTACTCTGGCTTCATCGTTGGTTTCCGTCATGTCGCCAATTTTCTCGGATCTCCTTATGCAACGGGACTCGCTGGGAAACGATGCACGTCCTTGTGCAGTCTGTGTCGTAATGCGACATTAACTGCGTTACCCCGACTCTTTTAGCCGATATGCATTCTCCTCCTTTCGTTCTGTCACTTTTCCGCTTTCTTCCACCGCTCCCTCGAAAGATATGTATATTAAAGTAAAATAAGATGTCTCTAAAAATAGATTGTGAAATATTTATTATAAAATAACAGAGTAATATTGCATTCAGTAATTTGCATTAAGAATGTCTCAAAGTATAACGATAATAGCAAATTGATTTGGATGGAGTCCGATGTTATTCGCTATTAAGAAGTAACTGATGCGAAATATAATGTAAAGGATTATTGATTAAACTATTGTACATAAAGCCTTTCAAATACATGATTATGTGATTAATCAATATATTCGCATGTACGAGATATTAAGCAATTGATGCAATTTTTAATATATATATATATATATAAATCTGTAAAAAAAAAGTAAAGACCTCTCGTGCAATTAAAATTTCTAAATGTTAAAACTTCTAATATATTGCACAATTATTGAAATGTAAGTAAAACTTCTTTATTATTTAAATTAACTAAATGTTAGGCTGTCATTGATAGATATGGATAAAATAAATATATGCAATTGATGAAAGTTAGTCAAAACTCAAATCTTTGTTTATATATAAAGATTATTAATAATAATTTTTGAATGCTATAACAAATAAATTCCGATTTTATATGCTATTTTGCAATCTAGAAATCTCTTTTACTATGAATCTATGAATATGTTTATAACATAAATTTTATTAAAAAGTATAGAGTTAATAGTAGAGAATATAAATTGAGATTTTTAAACAAATTAAAATTTTTGTTTATAATTAAGTAACAAATGATTATTTAAATTTATTCTTTTTTCATCAAGAATATAATTATATAATTTGAAATTATAAAACTCTAGATTTATATAATATATAATTAAGATATTAAAAATTCTTTTAAAACAGATTATTTCCTTTATTTCTTCTAAAAAGAAATTTATTTAAAAATTTTTAAGATATTTTGTCATTAAAATAAATATTGAAACCTTTAAAGATTACCTCATTTAGCAACAACATGATTATTTAAATTTATTCTTTTTTCATCAAGAATATAATTATATAATTTGAAATTATAAAACTCTAGATTTATATAATATATAATTAAGATATTAAAAATTCTTTTAAAACAGATTATTTCCTTTATTTCTTCAAAAAAGAAATTTATTTAAAAATTTTTAAGATATTTTGTCATTAAAATAAATATTGAAACCTTTAAAAATTACCTCATTTAGCAACAACATGTATTAGTAGGTTTATTATCTATTTATTTTAATTATCTCATTCATGAGAAAAGATGTTTTATTACTATTAATGTGCAATAAAATTTAATATAAAGTTATGCAATTTTTATTATCACATAAATTTTCTTTAATTATTTTTATAAATGGGGAGCCAAGTTGTATTGACTAACATTTAGTATTGATCAATACTAACCCCTCTGCGCCGATACTGCCGTATCTAAGTAGTACCAGTCCGTGTCAGGTCAGACACACTCTCGTAAATAGGAGTTCGTGTATTTCACGGTTATGTGTTGCAAGGTAGAATTAAGATAAATTTACATAGTAAAATTCTACATAAGAGAATGCATAAATTATTAAATAATTATTTAAATAAAGTAAATAAATTAATAAATAAAATTATATAACATAAAGCAGCAAATATTTATAACAAAATTATTCTTTTTTTGAATATGTAACGTTACCATAAAAGAATTTTAGCTTACAAAATTATTTTAAATATAGATTATTTTCTTTTTGAAAACATAAAAACGCCGTAACAATTTAAATAAAATGTAAAATATTTAATAATGTCTGAAACTGAAATATGAAAAATATAGAATTATCTTAAATTGTAATTAGTATGTTTTTAATTAAATTATATATTATTTACATGTGCATTTAAAATTATTTTTCTAATTTTAAAATTTCTATAAATATATGCGAAAAAAGAGAGGAAGTGAAAAATGGAATTACAAAGAAATAAAAAACTATCTAATCTCATATCGAGTGAAATATGCGGCATCTACGCCCTCTCTGTTTATTATTGGAATATCTTTCACTAGACTAATTTCTAGGACAATAATCATTAATATTGTACCATTATCATCAAAGTCATATCACGTTATCGTCATGACATAGCTAGTACACTCATCGTTACTCTCCGATCGGGATTGCTTCTACGGCGATTCGCGTGCGCGCTCTTTTTTTATCTCTATCACAAATTAACACAAGACGGATGCACAGATACATGTCGTATGTTATATTAACGTACCATTGTTAACAATTTAATTTTAAGATATACATACATCAAGATAGTATATGTTGAAACTAATCAACAATGACATTGATTTAACTTCAACAATGCGTCCGTCCTGAAAAGTGTCGCTTATTAAATCTATTTTGATTGCTTATATGCGAGTCAACATTTTATCGGCCAAATAAAACAATTTACAAACAACTTTGTTAAGATCTTCAGATTAGAAAATAATGACAATGACCATTTTTTTATCAAAGTTATAAAATTAAAATAATTTAAAGCTCAATCTTTTTTTTTGAGATTACTTGTAGAATAAAATCTCGTTAACCATTGTAAATTTAATTTGATAAATTTTATGTTTTGATTATTTATTGAAAATTCCTGTCTTATAATTAATTAATATTTCATATATAATAGTGTATATGTCATATGTCACTATTATTACTTTTAAATTGTTCTGTAGTGGTAATAGTTGACAATCATTTTTGAATATATAATTACAGAAGAATCATTTGTACAATTACATACAATTATTTCATATATAACAATCAGATTATAAGAAATTAAGGTTGTTTATGAATCGTCTTATATGATCGGAAAAATTGCAACTTGCGTTTAATTCTATTAATTTAGGCCTGGACAAAACCGCGAAGCATTCCTGATCTGTAAGTAATTTTTCAAAACACGTCACTTTCTACCTTATACATATACTAAATGTGGTAATCTTAATCGCTGATATGTACTCATATTGAATACAAATTATAAAACGTAACACTCTAGAATAAATTTGCTGCATACATCGAGAAAATTTCTTTCGTCAGGAAATATAAATATACTAAAGAAATAAACATTTGTAAAGAAATTAACGCAACAAAATTGCTATAAATTTATTTTAATCCTCCGGAAATCGTAATATCTATTTAATATATCACGTATAGATCATATAATATATGGATCACGTATAGTCGCAAAACTAATTTTCATTTTATTACTTTTAATTAATTCTTTTGTCATTAGATATCTTTTAACTTTCCTCAAAAGTGATTATATTTAAATTTTAATTATAAATTGCACATAAAGAGTTATACATATCATAATATAATTCGATATATCGGAATTATTGAACAAAATATTTTTTGATTTCTCTCATTCACAAACACGCCACGATTTTCGGAGGGTTTACAAGCGCAGATACATTTTGTGATGCGACTTTTACAGTTACCACACCAAGCATACAACTCGATTCTGCGCGAAAATCGTCGATCGTGATGCCAGGACGATCGCGAACATACATGTGCGATCGATCGAGACGACCCATTTGCGAACAATCAGTTAAAACATGTAATAACAGCACGCTCGTGGTGAGAGATACATTACAAAACTAGTACAAAACTAGCAGCTAGGTACAAAAATGTAATTAATCGTTAATAATGAAGGCCGCCCGGGAAACTGCCAGGGACCCAACTCTGTTCGCTCTTTTCATCTTCCTTTCTTATTTTTTTTTTTTTTTTTTTTTTTTCGTCGTCTGGCTTTTTTCATTATCGATAAACTCATTTCGGTCGACGTATCAATCAAGTCTGATCGGATTTTTCCCTTTTCTCTCGATTTCTCTCTTGCTTCTTTATACGCACGACCATTCATTTTTTCTCTCTTGAGCGACTTTCACGTGTTTAGAATGTCGTAGAATTGCTGAGGAATTTAATACTGCTCGATTTTGGCGAATTCGCGAGTGCGGAGTGGCGCGAGATTTGTTTTTTCTTTTTTTTTCTTTATCACGTACAACTTGATAGTTGAGAATCGGTTAAGTATAAACAAGACTGAGAAGTTGCGATAAATATAATTTAATTCTATTAATAATTATAAATATTTAAATTATATGTACACTAAAATTATAACATGGTATCATTGTGGCCTCGCACCAAAAGGAAATCGTTGTACAAAATATTTTCATAAATTCTGTGTGCTTGATTATAAACAAATGTATGTATATAATTCGCAAATGATCCTGTTCAAAGTAAATCGTGTGTGTGTGTGTGTGTCTCGCTTAATAAATATTTATTTACAAAAATCTTATGGTTCTTGGGGTTCAGTATTGAAGCTCTGATGTCGCTATCTTTTTACATCCGAAGTAAACCACATACTTTGTCTCACTTGATATAAATCACCGATGAATCTTTAATAATATCCTAGCATGATCTTTCACTCTCGAAACACTGAGCAAGAAATTTAATCGATATCTGACAATCATTGAGATACAATATGTTTTTGACAGATCTAAAGGATAATATAAATCTCTACAATCTAGTGGTCGTGAAAATCAGCTGCAATTTTATAGATTAATTATAGATAGACAAATAAAAGACTAAAAGAGGGATAAGTGTGCTCTTTATCTGGGGGAAGAAAGAGGGCCTCTTCGATGTTATATAACTATCTCGAACCACTGCGCAGTGGCGACGTTAAATTACAGGAGTAAAGCTTACGATATTCGGATCTGGACGAAAAAACCGGATCACGAGCGATTCTATATACGTATAAAGAGATATTCGCAATAAAATGTTAATGCGTCTTAGCTGAGCCCGGCTAAAAATTGTCGCACAGTTCGAGAATACGTCATCTTTTTGCAGAGATATTTTTGGGAAGCGTATACGATAATATAACACATTTTTTTTTTTTACTTGTTTTTATTGTTTTATTTGTAATATTCTCCGCTCCATAAATAATGCCGTTGTGCAATATTGTGTCTTCGTCGTGAAATTAAATTAGTTCATTACTTGTGATTACCGTCATTACTTACATATTGACAATAATCTATTTAACAATATCAATAGCTAATGCTAAATCTCGCTTATGCGAAAACATGCGATAATTTGTTACACTTTATCATATCTGTGTGAGATCTTTTTTCAACATCGTAAATTATCCTTCAATTCCAGTCGAACTTGCGTTACTTTTTAACCGGGTTTTTAATCGACTTATATAGCTAACGTTCGGAACTAGAAGATAGTCGATAGTTTTGTTTGATTCCGTTGTATAGTTAAGACATCATAAAATACCACGTAGAGAGAGAGAGCATCTTTTACGTCTTTTTATTATACTAAATAACCGAATAAGACACCATAATACCACGTAGAGAGAAATAGTATTCTTTATGTCTTCTCATTATATTAAATAATCATTTGGACAAAATTGCCAGAAAAATCTATGATTTGTCGCGTCAAATATCCTTAAAGGTAGCTGTTATATAATATCAAGTAAAAATTATACTTGTAGCTTGAAATATATAAGAATCATTTAAATCCTTTTTTCTTTACTCGAATTATATTATTCTTCTGTAATTTACTTACTATTGCACAATTTTTTATGTCTACAAAATATTTCTAATTATTTGATGCAATTTTAACTTTTAGCTTGAAGATTTTATAATTTATATTTAAACTAATGTGTAGATGTTTTGAACAGCACCTTTATACTTTTTTCCAAAATGCCACGAATTAGATGACGATTAAGTGCTCTTATCTTTTGTTTTTTTTTTTTTAAATTTTTTAGAGAAAAGTCAATATGTTTGAATGAATTGTGTTAGAGTTTAGAGTAAAAAATAGAAGCTGAGATTTTTCTAGACACTGACTCGGATATAGAATTAATGTTTTGTCAAAAACATCAAGGCGCGCCCACATTATCCACGCGAGCACTATTCCAGGAGCACAGCGAAGAAACATTGACGAATTACATTGCTCTCTTCTCATTTCGACGACATTACGTGGAAATTCAGCTATGCCTAATTCTAGAATTTTATGCTATTCGTAATAAGCGCCACAAATCTGTTCACGTTCGATAATTCTTCTTGTGTTGAAATCTTTGATTTCTCGCGAAACATAGATAATTATTTTGCTCAAAAAATTTTTAGACATTTTTATACACATATACATACATATATGCATTTTTTCTCTGAATGTTGCGTGTGTATTTATAATTTCAAACTTATTTCTCGCGTCTATAAAAATTATATTAAATTAAATAAATATATATAAACGCCTTTTTTATTTATGGTAACAACTTTTTGATTTATGTTACATTTGCGTTCTTCATTATATAAGCACCTCGTTTCTCTTTATCATCTTTGAAATGTCAACAATATACACAAGTAAAAGTTTTACAAACCCCAAAAAAATGTTTATATATATTTTCATAATTTCTTCGAGTCTCAATTTAGCAACTTAATAAAATTGCAATCAATAAAAATATTAAACCTAGGAGCAAGGAATCTAAAACAAAAAAATGAATACATACATTAAACTAATAAAAATCTGCATCTTACATTCGCTAATCGCGCACTAAATTTAAGCAGTCGAAAACTCTGCCTTTCTTCGCATTAATGGAATTACTTCGCAAAACCGTATGTTTTTTTTTATCTCTAACATATATGCTCCTCTCGTTTGCAATCTCTTAAAGAATTCGATTCCACACAATTCCAGCTTCCAGTTGTGAATTGTACATAGGCTGTCCAAATATTTCATTCGAAATTGCGCCTTGAGTCGTCATGATTCACGTAGACGTGCGAAAATTGGACGCAATAGTTTACGCTTTCATGCAAAAAAGTTGCCACTAGCCGACTATAGCGTTTCGTATAAGATTAATAATAAAGCTTACAATAGAGCGGGCGACGCCCGTAAAACTTACGTGATCTCAAATAAGAATTTTAGATTATACAACGATATTTTGATTTCCGTGGAAAGGGTATTTCATAAACCCAGTAAAGTGTCAAGAAAGCTAATGAGAGCCCAACTTGATTCTGAAGAGAAGCACTTTCTCTTTTTCGTCGCGGGGCCCGCTATATGAATAATTAATAATAATTGCGATCGAATCTCGCTTATATATCGCTACGAAGATGAATCTCGATATAACAATTTATTTGAGATTCACATTCATAGAAGTCACGAAGCTATATATACTATATAGAATCTTGGCGCGCAATTTTCGTCAACTTTCTATATTTGCATAAATTGGCAGACTCGCAAATTTGCCAGATTATTAGTTCATATCTGTAATTTTAATTAGTCATGCAAACTATATATCACTTTTTCAATAATTATGCTATAGTTCATATGACTATGTAATATAGTACCACCAGTGATTTCAGTAGTAAGAAAATGGGGATAAGCGAATTTGAATCGGCGTTTACATGTAGACGCGCTTTGATTTCGTGGATTGTTTTTTTTTTTCGCAGCTTCTCGACGAGAAAGAGAAAGAGCGGGAAAGCCGGCGGCTAGGAAGCGCATTTAAAGAAGCGTAAAGTTCGCACGCTCGGCACTCTTCGATCGCCCTTTATCGAGGGCGTTCTACGAGGGCACGACGACACTTCGACGACGTAAAACTCGTCGCCGACGACGCGTCACATTCAGATATAGAGGCATCTCCGTTAATTGACTAAATTTCTCTCTCCGCATATAATATTATATATTCCGGCATCGTTTAATGAATCATTTTATATATACGATCAGATCTGCGGCCTGCTCGCACGACAGTCAGTAACTCTCGTTTTGTTTTGTTTTTTTTTCTTTTATAATAATTCGCTACGACATTTATTGAGCGTGATCTTACGTCGACGTATAGAGACTAAGGTAATTAGTTTCAAATACCATAGAGCGACTTGTCGTTCTTGATTTTTTTTTCTTCTTGTATGGCGCAGGAAGTCGTCCCCAGATTAACGGGACTCTAATTAACGAACTATAGCGTGTTTGAGCGAAGCGAGATTATTTTAGAGAAATGGACGCGCGTCGGCGGAGTCGCCGAATTCCGCCGGTAACCTATTGTTATTTCGCAAAACTTGAAGCACCACTCGCATTGTTTCGCTTATCTCGGGTCATCCTTTGATGTTATAAATGGACCGTCATGGTTGGTTGATCTATTATGAAAATTAGATAAGCTCTAAATATATTGATTGTATAATTTTGATTTGTTTGACAGTTCAATCTAAGTAATACTTGAGCTGTTGTAATATTAGCGCAGATATACGTATAATATAGACTCTTGATCAATAATTTTATCAATCTCTTGAACTACTTTTATCATATTGTTACTATGATATTGCAATAAGCATTAAATATAGTACAAGTTATTTACTCAAATTATAAAATATTTTTAATTTTCTTCTCTCTCTTTGCTTTTAAAACTTATCTCAAAGTTTTATAAATCTTTCTTCGCGGTGAAAATGTTACATTTTCAAAAAGTTTCCTTTCTTCTTCTTCAAAAAAAAAAAAAAAAAATACATAACGTACAGTGTATAAATGTATACAACTACATGTATATAGAAATAGAATGCAGATAATATAACAATAGAGATTTATCTCTTTGGAAAAATATCGAATTCTCACATTATTTAACAACATAGAATTTGGATCCAGAATTTCTATATTTTGTTCTCTATTTAAAGATTTAAAAAATCTTTTTCTCAATATGTCTTCCATATATCTTCTTCTATTTTCTACATTATACTTATTTTGATTTTTTATTACTTCAAATTATTCCAACTAAGTTAGGAGTTAATATCGATACTCGTAAGCTATGATCGTTACCGATTCGTACGTCGGAGCTCGAAATTTTAAGGGAACATCCTGCGAGTGGTGCCAAGATGCGAGGACGATCCTTGAGTAGCGGTAAAAGCGACGCTTTAAGAAAGCGCCGCGGGTAGAACAGAACGCAACATAGGCTCTGCTGCTCGTAGATGTTGTCAATGTGGCGTTAGTCGTCGTCGTCGAGGCCGAGAAGCTCCGGCGGAAGTCGCCTGTGCCGGCAGCATACTGTGAGACAGAGTACTCGCGCGGCCAACCGGAACTGGGGACTCAGTGTACCAAGAACGATCGCTTTCCAAAAGCTGTTCGTCACCCCTAGCCACACCACGGCGAAGTGTAAAAACGGCACCTACGAATAAATAATATAGGTCAAGCTGGAGATATTCAATAAATTGTGATCACCCGAACATGAGATTCTTTAATTTAATCCTTAGTCCCGACTCATGGATCGTTTGCGACCCAAACGAACAAGTAATTTTTCCTTAGGTACCTCCATTTCTTAATAACAAACTATATAAAAAAATTATTTTTATCGAAATATTATGATTGGGACTTCAAGTTGAAGATTGCAAGAAACTCCATGAATTTCTTCAGATTTTTTAAAGCGTTTTTACTGATTCAAATAACGCAAAGACGCAAACGACCCATGAGTCGGGATTAAAGGTGCCGAAAAGAACCGTCGGGACTAAGGGTTAATTTTTTTTTTTTTCACACTTTAATCAATTCTTCGTAATAATGCGAAAATTGAGAAACTGATGCTTATACTCTGTTACAAATGTAAACGAGAAAGAAATATAGCTTTTGTAGCTTTTTCAATGATTTAAAATGACATTTAATAGCGCATAAGTACTAAGAATATATTCCCTTATATTTTCCAACTACTTATAACAATCGCATAAAGTAGTCGGAAGTGTCCTTGTGTCTGAACTTCTTATGCTTATGTACCGACGAGTGTATGCTTTATTAACCTACTCCGCTTTACGAACCTGTCGACCTATATTTTTAATTGTGTCATTTCCAGTGCCCCTTTTCACAAAGTTTAAAATTACTTTTAAATCACATCAATGTCAAGCAAAGTATCAGTCTAATAATCTTCTAATACAAACAACAAATACTATATTATGCTACAATAAATATATAAAGCAAAGCATTTAAAAATATACATTTATAAAAAAATAAAATTATGCATATAATTAATGCGGATTAAAAATAGTAGCATACAAAAGGGCGATGCAGATTACATAAATGTCAAGAGTTTTGATTGTCTTTCTAATATCACCGTATTTTCGATGAGAAATTGTGCCTATTATTAAGTTTCAAATTTTTAAATTAAGTACGCACTCATAAAAAAAAAAAACTAAACTTGCTTATGTAGAAACATAGTCTTATATAATTCAAACTGCTCAATTGTTCTTATAGTCTAAATAAAAAATGTACAATCTTAAAGTATTAACAGATTCCCGAGTATTTTATTTATCGAAATTATGTGTAGAGAAAGACAAGATGTTCCTCCTTCATTTTAATAGCAACTTTTGCCCTTTTGTTGGGCAATTAAATAAATCGCAAAAGAATGGCATTACCTGAGGCGGTCCGTTAACGACTGCATATATCCTTAGTCCGGCGTACGGTGCCCATGACACCCAGAAAGCCATCACTAGGACGAAGGACATAATGTGACTTGGGTTGCTCAGATTTTCCGATAGCGCGGTAGCGTACTCCTTGTCGTGGATCAACACGCCGGACTTTAGTCGCCTCATCATGGAGAAAATATAGAAGTACGTGTAGACGATGGTGATGACCGACGGTCCCAACACGAGAATCGACAGCGTGATGGTGTATGCGGCCATGTTGCCCCAATCGAGCATGCAGATGAAGGCCTCGCGATCGAAGATCGGCTTGTTGAAGCCGAGCAAAGGCGGGCAGCACATCATCGCCACGCTGATCCACGTGAAGACCATCCAGCATTGACATCGGGTTTTCGTCTGTACGGTCTCGTATCTCAACGGTTTCCTGCAAAAATCGTCCGAGAGACCGACGTATTAGAGAGGTATCAAAACTTGAGTCGCCTGCACGAATCGATTTTTTGATCATATAATCGCGATATACCTGATAGCCAGATAGCGATCTACGGAGATCCACATGAAAGTGTACACTGATACCGCCCAAAGTGTGACTTCCAAATAACCGACGAGTCGGCACACGATGTCTCCGTAAACCCATCTTCGTACCAGAGCCGGATATACCGAGAGCGGAACCACCAACAGACCACATAGGAGATCTGCCGAGGCGAGTGATAGCAAGTAGTAATTTATCACCTCGGAGGGACCTGCGAATAAAGGATTTTTAGTGTTCATTAAACGTATTTGATCGATTCTTTAACAACAATGATATTTTAATTGCTATGTTTATACGTTCGTTGGCATCAATTCAGAATTTGACATCCAACAATTTATTATTTTATTAATTCATTAATTATTTTATTAATCTATTAATTCATATTATCATTAACAGAATATTAATAATAAATAAAGTATAATTATAAAAGTAGCAATATAAAATAAATTATAATAAAATACTTACATCCCACATAATTAATTTTATTAATAATCAAATTGTATTATTTATGGCTTATGGCTTTCAAAAGGGAAAAGAAGATGCGCTTGAGCGCTGAATGAACGCTATGACAATTGAAGTGGACATTATGAATACAATATGAAAAATATAAAAAGTGCGAATGCGAAGCATCCTTGAATCGTAGGCTTACCGCGGAAGTTAAGGTAGGTGGCGATAATGAAGAGATTCGAGAGGATGATGGCGAAGGCGACCACGAGGATAAGGCTCGACTGCATGAGAGCCTCCAACGAGGGCTCCTCCATGCCGCCACCCTTTCGAGCTGCATCCCCCCACCCACCCTTAGATGCTTTTACCCTTCACCCTCTTCGCGATCTTCCTGTTACCAGGTGCTGGACGCTTCTCGAAGCTCGTACTGATCCACCTTCCGCTCTTGCACGTCTCTTCTTCGTGATGTACTTTCCGTTTCCGCACTATTAGAAATAAATATTGAAGTCCTTAGGCAAAAGAGTTCTCGATATTGAAACTGTGTCTTCAAGGATCTTGATATACTATTGATGTAACCGTGTCACTGTAAATTTAATCAAACAATTAATAACTTAGGATAGCTGTGAATAAGCTTATTTCTTGTGGAAATTTATTATATTTAAATAACTAAGCATATTTCTTTTTTTCTTGTAATAGTCAATTTTCAATCAAACAATTTAACAAATGATTCCAACGAAAGATAATACAACCAGAGATGAAACACTTTACAAATATAAAAATGCATTTAAAATATTAGTTCAATGCTAATAATTGATTATAAAATTGTTCTATATTATAATTGTATATGTATATTTATTATATAATTGTATGTATATATTAATTATTAGATATATCGATACTCTAGCTGTTAAATTGTTAAACTTTTTAAATTCGCATATTTCTTTGGATATGAATCTTATCAAAAATATGATGAAAACAATGTTCAAATAATTAAAAAAAAATATGATAAACGTATTCTTAAATAAACGATTTCCATAAATGCCTACAAACGCTATAAATAGATAGAGAATAATAAAAATATCAAGTCCGAGCCACGCGCACAGTTCATCTTCAGATTTGAGGTCAGTGTGTCAGCCCCAGCTTGGCCATAGGGAGAACGGTAACATAGGAGAATTGCATTCCGAATGATAGATTGGTTGGATAACGTGGAACAAGGATATCGGGCAAGTTCTGGAGCGTTCGTGCCGATAATATACGCCGTATATTTTTCCCCCTTTTTTATTTTTTCCGCGAAAGCCACGTAACTCTTCCCTCGTAGAAGCATCCCGCGAACGACGCCTTCCCACCCTAGGTATCGACCGCCATTCATAATTTAGCTGAGTCGATCCTGAATGGAGGGGTATATTGTAGCGTCGTGCAGTCGTTCGTCGCGTTTCCCGAATTAAAGTAGAACTTCCGCATTTTCTGCACGACGTGACGTGACATGACACCATCGACGACGCGAAGTAAAGGAACAGAGTGACGTGAATTAACGTTGCAATCAAAACTCCTGCTTGATATTATACCCTCAGCTGCATCGTACTTTTTGTATGCTATTTTTAATCCGCATTGATTACATGATAATTAATCGTGTAAGTATACTTGTAATAAGATCCGAAAATTAAATTTCTTTTCTTTTTTATAAATGTAATGTTTTAAAATGCTTTGCTTTATATATTTATTGTAGCATGATATATATAATATTTGTTGTTTGTATTATTGAAAGCAATGAATGTATTATTTGTACGTTAATGTATATAATATTTTCTTATTATTATTTGTATTATTTATTGCGCACAAATATTTTGATGTATAAAATATTGAATTATTTAATATAGAGTATAATACATTTCCATTCTGTTGCTACAATTTGGAATAATCGTGAATTTGTTATCTTTAGCTTTCTTTGTATTGTACTTATAGTTATCATTTATAGTTTAAAAACAAAATAATTACGTAATCGCTAATTAATGGAATAAATATTTTATGATTAAGATAATCATGTGCTGTTTAATTATTATTTTATGAATGTTTAGTATAAAAAATGCAATTGTGTTTCTTTCTTTCTTTCTCTCACATTAAATTTCAAAAATAAACATATTCGATATTTTTTCTCCGCACATTTTTTTTTGAACATTCTATTGATCTTTTCATCGGATTGGCCTCTTTAGCTAGTCACAAAGTAACTAGATAAAATTGAAAATCAGCTGCCATTCTGTCCAATGCACATGCGTTTACCTAAGTGAAAACGATAATTCGAAGATCGATACATGTCGCAATTATCGTCTATAATACTTGCTTAATTATAAGCAAGCCTCGTAAGCACCGACACGCGACGCTTTGTTACATGAAAAGCAGCTTAATGAAGCCCCGAGTGTATTATAGCTTAAGCAATTACGTTGCTGGTCTCTCGCCTTCGCCGCCACTACTCAGTCTTCGATAACGCGTGACTCCGCTACCGATTTTTCCATTTTTATTCCTCTTTTAGCAAATGTAAAAAACGCACGGTACAAATACTGTCGATCAACGAGATTACTGGAACGCAAAATAATCCCTGGCAGTTTTCTCTGCGGTGTGATAACATCGATCGTGCACTAAAATGCGGCTAAAAGTTTTTACGGGAGAAAATATATATTTGTTTTATTGCGACTTAATATATAATATATATATGTATAATATTGCAATATAATATTGGTATCTATTAACAAAAACAGAGATATATTTCTGGTCTGTTACTTCAATCAAAATTTTTTTATCAAATAACATAAGGGAACATGTTTTAGTATGTTGGTCAAAGATAGGTAATACATTAATTAACGCACGTTCTTGATTTATATTAAAACTTTAGATTTTTTTTACAGAGCTGCTAATTAAATTCTTTTTCTGAAAAAATCGTAACACTATATATTCTATAATTTATTCTAAAACTAACAAATATTTCTGAATTATATTCTTTGATTGATTAATTTGTACTTCCCAAAAAATTTAATTAAATAGAATTTAATTAAATTGCAACTGCGAAAATAAACGTATTTTCGGAATGAAAACTTGGAAAGAGCAAGTAAATAAAATTATTTATCAATTAACTTTGTATGGAATTTATCTGAATTTAATAAAAAAATTTTATTTAGAATTTAATTACTAAACTTTCAAATATATAATATTGAAAATCGAAAAGTTGCGGCGGTCTCGTCTGATTTTCTCATAGGGGAGGAAAAATTCAACTTAAAATTGATTAAATAATTTATGTAATTAAAAAAGCACCTGACAATTTTGGAACATTTTGTATAAAGTTGTTTTATATTTGTCTACATTATTCTTGCATGACGTGATCGAAGACAAACTTATATAAGGTTTGCCCATTTAAGACAGGAAATTGCAACAGAAATGTCAAACGATGATATCAACTATTTCAATATATAGTCATTCATGGAACAATATCTTGTATTAATATCAATAACTCTATTAATAACTCTATAATACTATTTCTATCACGAGACAATAGAAATTATTGTTCAACCTGTAATGTGGTTGTAATATGGTCACAGTTAATTTTATGATATAATTAAAGAACGAAACAATATGGAAAATTTTAATACTCAACATTAATTTATGATAATACATGCAAAAATAATTCCAGTTTCACTTTCATTGAGAATTTTCTCTGACATTTGTTCAGGACTGAATCTAAAATATATGACTTATAATTTCTTCCACATGTCTATAATTATATTATTTGAAAATTATTTTTTGAACGCAATAAATCTCGTAACATTGTTGCATCAAAGTTGTCAATTATGTCGAAGAATGCAGTAGAAAAAGTTGTAATAATAGATTGTAAACAGAAAGAGAATTAATAATCTACACCCCCCATGCATATTTTATCAAATATAAGTATACTAAATTTTATAAAAAATTCTTTTTGATAAACAATAATTAGCATCTTACAAAACTAGTTTAACTCAATTAAAGCACCACATATAGTCTAATCTTCAGTTTAACTCTTTCCAATCTATAATTTAGTTTTCCATACACCCTTACGATTACACGGAAACTGAGAAGGTCGATTTAAACACGGCCTCTCTCTCGTGGGTTCGAAACGTTGCTATTTTTACCCATTTTTATATCCGACGACAATCAACGGCGCGGTATTATTGCGGTTGACAAAAAAGAAAGCTCGGAGCGACAGCTTTTTCCCGGCGGGGCTCTTCAATTATCGTCGGAGCGAGAGCGCTTTCATATCGGGATCCACGATGACGAACAACCCCGAACTCGTATCCGACAGAGCAGGGGCTACTGTCTTTTGTTTAGTTAACCGAATATTTGCCCAGCCATGCGCATGTGTCGAGATAAGGGGTGATCCACGACACGAGTAGCGGACGCGCGCGAGTCAATGCACATCGCAGTTTTCCAGCCGCGTGCTTGGCTCGCGATATGAAATTTTATTTGTTTCTCGTAAATGCACTTATTATTAGTAAAAGTTCTTTGTGGCGACTTTGCGAAATAAAAATACAAAATTAGAAAAAATATAAAAAGCCAAACCTATCGGTGAAAAATCTTATTGATTCTTACACAATATTCTGGGTGTTTTCAGTTTTCTAAAAGTGAAATTTGAACAAAAAAATTGTGAATTTGAAATTTACTCGAAATAATATAAATGTCATACTTAAATATTATAAATTATTTAAAATTAAAAATGTAACATTATATACACGTATAAATGCCATTGATCAATTAGAGTTATTAAAAAAAATGACATAGCACATATGACATTTATACGAAACGAAGAAGTGACACGAACGAAAGATAACTGCGCACGAGAATGAAAAACTGAAAGACATTGAAACGAGGAGCACATGTTCTCGCTGTACGATAAATCTTTGACATGAAACATTCATAAAATGCGGATGGCAATTGCATGATTGCGCAACGGAAGAGAACCAATAAGACTGGAGCAGGCACAATATCGACAAAGCGGAGAATCTTGAATATATAATTAGCCAAGGCAACGATATGACATCGCGGTCCACGCAGCATCCCGCAAAAATTCCCCCAAAAATACTCCGAAATAATTTCACTGTCACCTTCGAACTGCACGTTCGAACGACGTCACACGTACCTCCTCGGTCGCATCCTGATCGCGTGCACCAGCAGCTCCGCCGGTGCCTGTCGCAGCCTCCTGACACTCCCTCTCGTTTTTCTCAGCGAGTCGGCAGCGATAGCCGAGACGCTGAAAGCGCGTCGTCGTCGACGTCGTCGTCGTCTTCTCGCTTCGACGTTGTCCTCGAATCGTCCCTATTTATTCCTCCAGCTCTGCCGTGGGATCCAACTCGGGACGCATTCGCGAAAGCACACCGCTACGCACAGGCGCACATATTCGCACTCTCGCTCGACCGGGACTTCTACAACTACTGACAGAGAACTCCGCTTCTCTTCCTCGGCCCGGGCGTCGAGGCGTCGATACGACGACGACGACGCTTGCGCGCCACCCCCGATCCACCCATTCCCACCCGGGCATTTTCGCGGCGCATTCGAGGCTGCGACCCTGTTGTCGCGGAACACCCTGTCTCTCTCTACTTCGTCGATTCCCGACAGGAATCTGCTCGCATTCTCCGCTGTCACGGGCGCCCGGAAATTTCGAGCTGTCAAACCTCGCGTGCGAGCGCGCAAGAAAGAATCGGCGAACGCGAATGGAAATTGTCGCATCGATCTCGTATTCTTCCTCTGCATATATATATATATATATATATATACATAAAAATACCTATATATATATATATATATATATATATATATATATATATATAGGGGTATTTTGCCCCTTACGATCGAATATTTCTCATGACGGCTGCTTATCGATTCTCGATTCTCGTAAGTACGTCGTTTCGTTTCTGCCTCGCCGAGCTTCAGGAATATTTATATTATGTAATGCGGAATATGTCTCTCGGATTTAATATGCAATATTTTGGAAATGTACTTTCTTCGCTAAACAATTTTGCTGTGTTCAAACTTACTTTGATGCGAAACAGCTGATTCGGAGATAAAATTGTGTTTTATTCAAAGTTTCTTATTGATTTCTCCTCAAGTCTCAAATGGTGCAGTCATAATTAGTTTGCATCGTAATTGATTAAATTCTTCTTCTCTATATAGAGAGATGGCTATATATTTTAAAAAATAATATATATAGCTAAATCAGGATTAATCAATTTGAATTGCTAATACATTCAAGCTTTATCATATGGTTTTATTCTGTGCTATGTAATGAAAAGTGTAATCGATAATTCTATAAATTCCAGATAATACTATAATTCCACTTTAAATTGCAAATCTTAAAAGTTCATTAATATAAAATTTTATAATATATTGATATATTATAATCCTTATTTTATACAGAGTTTGAAAGAAAGCAATAAGAAAGAGCTGAAAATGGAAGGAAAATATATGTTTTTAAATGCATATTAATTTACATAATTACTATACGAATAAGTAATATAATACTTTCAGCAGAAAATTTGCACTCTTTTAATAAGATTACTTTTTAAAAAGAATAATGCTGATAAAAGACCATTTATCTGTAAGAGGAATATATGAAATCGGTATATCTTTATGTTTTTTGACCTGCTGAACCCGAAAATGGAGCTTAAAATTCCGTACACCAGGGAAAAATGTAAAAATGCAATGCAGCAAATGTTTTTTAATGAACAAGTGGCAATTGTAAATAAAAAGTCTTATTTTATTAATGTTTTTGAGAAAAAAGAGAGAGAGGGGGAAATGTGATTACATTTTAATCTAATTAAAAAAAAAACATGACAAACTGATACTGACTGTGACGTCTTGTTATCTGTGATCCTAAGATAGTGACTTACGTCTTCCGGTCACAGGTCACAGACGTCACAATCAGTATCAGTATTAGTTTTTTGATTAAATTAAAATGAGCAATTTACATCTCCCCTTTCTCTCTTTTTCTCAAAAATATTAATAAAATAACACTTTGTTTCCAATTGCTACTTGTTCATTAAAAAAGATTTGCAAAACAGCTTTTCTCTAGGAAAATTACATTTTTACAATTTTCCCCGGTATTTGAACAATTTTCAACTTCATTTTCGAGTTCAGCAGATCATTCAAAAGATACATAAAAATACAGCGATTTTATATATTTTCCTTCAGGCAAAGGTTGGCTCTTTTTCAGCATTGTTCTTTAATTTTTGAGTTAAAAATTATTATTTTGTCGTCAAACAAAATTCTTGGTAAAATTTCAAGAAATGATTTATTTATTCAAATTGAGTCAGAGAGAAAGAAAGCTAGTGTCCCTTCATCAATTTGTCTTTAAACGGCGTTTCCCTTGATGAAGCCGTTCCCGTAATTTATTCGCACTCTTTTGATTAAAGCTAGAAAATCGACGGTGATTCTCATGAACGAAAATGAGATGAACGTTACATCCTCTGTTAATTACATCAGTCAGAAATTTAAATTAGATCTTTAGAGACAGTTCATCAAAATTTTATTCAAATTATTTACGGTGCTACTTAGTAGTTATTTAGAGCATCCGAGATAAAAAAAACAGGATTTTCACATATTAATGCGGCCGTATTCGCGATAATTTTAGCTTATTCATTTCTTCTTGCCACGATGTACTTTCATTTGAATTGTTAATTTGTTCGATCGTAAAGTACTTTTATAAAATACTCTGATATACGTTAGAGTTCTTAATTAAGCTCGAATATACAATAAAAAATTTTCTTTCACGAGTATCGAAATTGTAAAATCTTAAATTTATATTTCTTATATTTACTTAAATGATGTTCTTTTTATCGTTCAAATATCGTCAAGTCTATCAATATCTTTAATAAATTTTACTTTATTTTTAATTATTTGTTATTAATCCAACTTAAACGGCATCTTAATTTTATTTGAAAATAATATTTTTAATACTGTATTGTTTGAATAACTCATTATGTTTATTATTCCATTAATGGCAAAAGCAATTTAAAACAATTTAAGACAAAACTGATATGTTACAAGTGTTGTATCCTTCTGAATCCTCAAAGTAACGAGCTCTGATGTCAGTGACATATATATATATTACCCATAAAACGACAGTGGAAGGATAAAGCGATCCCAGGTTCTGGGCAAAGCGTCCGGCCCTGTCGTAGCGGCGATCGGCAGCGTAGCCTAATAGCGAGGATCAGCTACTGAATGATTAAATTTGGCACAGTTACCTACCATTCTGCTCGGCGATGCACATGTTCCATACATTCGCTCATTCTGAAACCGCGGGCATTGTGCCGCTCAAATTGGCACATCTCTGATACGAAAGTTCTGCAGTATTTCATTGTTACTTGGGCTGTGCCAACGAGTGCTTTTCTGCGATACACCACTTGCGCGACAGCTTAAGGAAAGACGTCTTAGACGATTCATCATTTCTATTCGTATTTTCCCTTCGTTGAAAAAATTTGAGAATATTGAATTTTTTTTAATTAACGCTCCAATTGATATAAATATGAATTCTCAGGATTAATTAGGATTTTTAACAAATGCAGAAAATAATTATCTCGCATGTATTCTTCCAGATTTGCGCGTAAAAATTGAGAAAACCACAAATTTCTTGTGAAAGAAATTTATATCACGAGGAAAAGATACAAAAGCATATTCGTATCATATTCGCGCGATTATTCAGAAGACACGAAGTACGTCAATAGGACGACGACCAACGACGATCACGAGATTTGTGTGAGGGGACAAGGACAGGGTGGTTAGGAGCTCAATAATCCTAGTGGTTTCCTTGAATGCTGCCGTTCGGTATAGCGGCCTTGTTCGGATATTTGCCGTAGACCCTGCCGCTTCTGGTGACCCTATAATGGATCTGCGGTGCGGCTTGAATCATTGACATGTCGTCGGACATGTGTAGACCGTCGCCGGTGCACAGTCGCTTTCGCCGTATTCCGATGGCCTTGTGTTTGTGTAGCTGTATCAGGCTGTGTCGCTTCTGCTGCTTCAATATCATCTTTTGATTGATCGCCAGACCGGCGTTACGTCTTCTTAGCAACCTGAGCGGCGAGGCCGCCAAAATTGCCCTGGTGATGCGACGTCGACAACGCCACAATAGAACGGCAGTCGCGAACCAGGCGAACCATGGACCGGCTCTGGGATTCGGAGGAACTGAGATTCTGGGATTCTCCCTCGACCAGAGAAATAACATCTGGGGACAAATAATTGCTTTGAACAATACATTTATCGCAAAAATTCTCAGCTGAAATATTCACGTTTAGAAATCGATACAAGAAGTTTTAGTAAAATACGTTGTATTTTAATGATATTGTGATTGTATTAAAATTACAATTAATTAATTTCTTTAGAATAAAACCGCAGAAATTTTTAAATTAGGTAATTGCAATCCACATTGAATGAATAACAAAATGTGACAATTTTTGACAATAATAAAAAATAAATTGAATTTATTTTTAAATTGTTTTATAATAAATATTAATTTTATTATTAAAAAATATTATATAGTCATAGTTACAGAGTCGTAATTAACTCATTTAAAATAGAATCATTTTATTTAATAAAATAATTCTCTAATTTAGTAGAATCATTTTTCTCTTTGACATACAGAAATAATTTTATCAATTATTATTACTCAGCTACAATAGAATTATCAAGTACAATATTTATTATTATTAAAAAAAAAGAATTGTTTTATAATAAAAATTGATGTGATGCGTTTATTTCATTATGTTACTATTTGTAACATGACAGCTTGTGCAACTGTACAATATAATAAACAATTTTAAAATATTATTGACATTGGAGATATCAATCCTATAAAAATTGTTTAAGCAAACTGTTGTAAAAATATATCGCAGGGAATTTTGCATAACGCAACGAAAATAGAAATTCGATATTCGTTCTCATGATAAAATATTACCCCGACTTGTGAAATCGGCAGGTGATTTGTTTGCAATCTTTTATATACTGATATTAGTTTGAAGATTGTGTGCGAGAAAGCATCGTGCAGCTACGACGATCGATTTCACGGTCGTCGTAGCTTTTCAAGGCTGTGCACCTTGAGATCCACGTGTGGATCCCAAGTAATTCGCTTAGAGCCTCTACGTCTCGAACACGTTCGCTTGTGTCGGACAGCATTTCGACTTTTATAGCTCCGCGACATCTCCGTCGTCGTCGTTCGCGTGCACGTAACCTTGCGCTCTCTCTTTTTTCTACCAAAGTGACCTATTTGGAGGAGAACTCTCGGGGTAAATTTCACATTGGTCGCACGTTTTTACTGTCAGGACTGACCTTATAGATCCACTCGCTGGCGTTCTGCCTGAAACTAGGAGCTGAGTGGACTATGCGAAACATAGAATGGCCGTGAACGCTGCCTCTGAAAATACGCCGATCTAGAATTCAAGAAATAATATTGAGAAGTTTAATTTTCAATTATTCAAATATTACTCATTCTGTTTCGAGATGTTTGAGTAAATTAAAACCTTGGAATTAAAGTCTCTAAATTAATGAAAGAGAAAGGACTAGATTAACAAGGTAAAATTATAAGGAATCGATTGTTAATATCTATGAGTGTGGAAGTAGGTACATACCTATTCCAAAAAAAGAAACGGAGACATGGAGATATATTAAGCTAGTAATGCATAAATCGATATAAATCAATAATTCAACACAGTTATATTGCCGGCTGTAGAGACTTAAGTAGATACAAAAGATTTAATTCTGGTCGACAAAAATGTAAAGAATGAATATTTTCTTGACGATAGAACCAACAGAATTGAAACGTTTTACGTTTCAGTTCTAGGGTGAAAATAACATAGGGAGAATTGTCAGAAAGCTGATGTGTTTGTTGAAACACATAATATCATAATATCTTATATTTATATGTTTAAGATACATCGACGATATTTATCAAATATGTTTGATATGTCAACGAAATTAGTGGAAAAATGTAAGGGAGGTCAAGTATGTGATAGGAAAGTGTTGCAGAGATACATTTTAGATACTTCACTATACTATGTCAAGGATATTATATGCGTTTCCATGAAACAGATGGAAAATAACATATTCCACGTGCAAATGTATAACGATGTTTTTCAAATCATTCGTTAAAATATGCGGAGGTGGTTTATGCAACGAGGAACGTTTCGAGGAAACGCTTACTGAAGCAGAAAAACACATATAGTATTATCTGCATTTACATGAATATAGCTTTCTATTCCTAGATATGTCTAATATATGTATAATCTGTTTAATTTGATTGAGATTATATGCAGCATGTCTAAAAAATATCTCCCTAATTATATATATATATATATATATTTTTTTTCGACGTATTAATAAGTAAATAAAGAAATGTGCCTTGGAAAGCATTGTTCCATAATATTATAGTATACAATACATTTTAAAGATAGTAGAAACAAATATATAATCAGAAAATTAATTTATAAATAAAGTTTATAAATAGAAATAATTAATCTTTTTTTAATTAAAGTTAATTTTAAATATATTTTATATAAAAAATTAACTTTTATAAAAATTATTTATTCTACTTATAAACTACGGAATTAACAATATATTATTGATATATAATTTATATGTACCTCGTTTACAGTCACATTAAGTTTTCCAATTATAATATATCCCTTCAATCTTCACCCCAAAAATTCACTGCTCACGCAGTGACGCTCAAATTTGTTCGTCGACTCGTGATGGTGGTAAATAATTAGGCAGAAATCGTTACTGCCAGAATGAGGATACTTGAGCAATGATAAATAGATCTAACCAGGAAGCTGTCACTGAATATCGATGATTCTTGGTGAGAAAGGCTTTCCTTTCGATCGCGCGATGTCTTATTATATTAATCAGTTTTAGGCTTCCCGCTAATCTCCGTGAGGGTGAGACTGCGACGAACTCGATGGTTTTGTTCACGCGAAAAAATTCTACCAAAAATACGAGTAAAGAAGGGCTTAAAAAAGTTGTAAAATAACATATAAAGCGGAGCAGGAGAGCGCGAGAATTTAGACAAAGGATGGTGAAACTCTTAATTGATCGTCTGACATTGGCTGGCAAACATGGCGATTAATCGATTGCGACATGAGCGAAACTTCATTGGAACAAATATTAAAATTTTATATATCAAGACATGATAAAGCATATTAGAAAGATATGAGTCTTGCTTTTGTATATAATGGTCATATAGAAACCAACAGCTCCGACATGAGAGCGAATATATATACATATCTATTCTTCTTCTCTTAATCATAAAAAAAAAGAGAATAAATATATATATATATATATATATATATATATATATATATATTCTGGATATTTTTAAAAAATTTATATAAAATGAGTATATATATGTCTCTTTTCAAAAAAGGTGTTTTTAGACAAATTAATTAATTAAACGAAAAGACAAATAGTAGATCAATATCAATTTTAAATACGCGTACATATGTTTACAATTTAAATTGTACACAAATATATGCTTATTTGATTAAATTTAATTAAATTAATATAATTAAATTTAAAAGCATTAATTTGATTAAATTAAAAATTATAAGCCGTTTTATAATTAAAACATTCCAAAAACTAAATACTTTTAGTTTATTTGATAAAAAAAATTAAATTACATTTAAATATAAAAAATATAATAATCCAATAAAAAATGTTTAAATAAAATGCATATAAATAATATATTAAAAGTTTCTACCATATTTTAGAGAATGCTTATATCTTTATCTTCTAAATTATCCTGATCATTTAAGCGTACCGAGAAAAATGATTTCTTCGTCATATTGAAGTTCCACCTATTCCAGCCTTGCCACCCTTTCGCCGTCCTACTGCTTTCCCGTGACGTCACGGGTCGTGTAGGTCAGTAGGTCAAAACCTGGATACGTGACCTGAGTGCAGTATATGTATTCGTGTTTGCGTCATACATTGGGTGTACAAGAATTAGCGAACATTAGATACTGCAAACAGAGATAGCATATTAATTCAGAATGGTCTTACATGCTTGGCGATAATTTGAGACATTAATGAAAAAATTTTGTTAGAATGTCAATATTTTTCAATATTCTAATAAAATAGACTTTTTATAGAATATATAATACAAAGCGTAACATTTTCTATAACATACAGTATATTAAATTGCACATACCTTCTATCAAGAGTAATATTATATAAATAATATCATTCGAATTATGGAAACATAATGGAATTATTGGGACATATGGAAAACTGATTATTTGATTTGTGTATGAAAAAGTATAACATTTTAATGTATTTTGTCGATAAATTTAGATCGTATCTTTGATTAATTTCTCTGTGATTTGCTTTCACGACGGAAGTTACGTCTCGTTATTTACGATATCATCTATCATTGATATGCATGCCTTAAGGCATGCCATAAGGCATTACGATTTATAAAATCATTTCTTATGAAATGTAGATTCTGTGATTGGAGATATAGAAAGCTATACAATTTATATAAATCACAGAATAATCATAATGAAAATGCGACTTATAAAAAATTAATACACTGATTAAAATAGTAACTGTGTTTATAAAAGCTATAATTTATAGTTATAATTTTGCACAAATTAAACATATTGGCACATCCTTATAATAATAATTCTTATAATTTAAATTTTAATTATTACTGCGACATTTTTATAACAATTGCCTTGTGTCTATATTCTTGTCGTTCAACAATATTGCAAGTATTATTTTTCAAGGTTTACAAGAATTATATTTATAAGAATACATATTATTTATTAAAAATACATTAGAATATTATATATATTTATTATTTGACAAAATGTTTAGTAAACTATGATACACTAAAAAACTATAAAACGTACAAAATAAAAGTCTAATGCACATATATGTGCATTTTCAATTTTATTTTTTTTTTTAGAAAAAAGATATTAAATCATTAATATTAAATGTGTCTTCACAGGATATATAAAAATGGAATATATATTGTATTTTTTATTTATTTTTTTTTTATCGCGTGCAAAAACAATCAACGAATTATTATTGTGAAATTAATTTTCGGTTAATATGTTTTTGTATGTTTTCTCCCGAGAAAAGGTTAAAGTTTACAGTGTTCGTTATATAACTTTAGCGACTTCTCGCGATTATTAATTTCTTCCGCAACATTACTTCTCTCCACAAAGTGGAATTTTCTATACTTTGTAGGAGATATTGTGCGGAGATGCGTGTACTTATGATATTCTTTTCAGCTGTTTTTCTTATGAGTATACTATCTAAGAATTTCACTCGTAAAAATAAAAATTAGAACAACAAGATATATTTCTCTTGAAATGGTTACATTATTCCTCGCAATAGTAATAAGCCATATTGCAAACATCCTTTAAATTATAATTATTCTTAATTCGATTATTTGTGTAACTTTTAAGCTTATTAAAAAAAATACTAGCAACAACTTGCACAAATTTTATGAGAAAAAACATACAAGAAAGAAAAATGGCACACAAAATTAAAAACTACGCAGATTTTTCCTTTCATCTTTATTATAAGATTGTGTGTTTATATTGACTCAGTCATAATTTAGATCGCAGCCTAAAGCTAACTATAGAAATAACTAATCGTTAACCAACATCGTGATTGCAGTTTGGATGAGTCTGCAATTGATTGTGAGGACAAACCGGTCGGACTGCCGACGAATTATCGACAGAATAAAGTGTGCGCGAGCAATAATTAATGAAACGATGTCTACGATGTTTCTCGATAACGAGACTTATCATACGCACCGCGGAAAGAACGATTAAAGATAAAAAAAAAGGAAGTACTTTTGCGATCGCAGCAAGTTCGATTAACATTCCTACGTACTGTCGATAGCATTAATCATAAGCATTTCATTTAAGTGCACTGGTACTGTCTGAATGAAACATTACTTCGGCTTCACACTGTGTCCTTCGCATTTAAATGAGTACATTTATCCGGCTCCTTAATAGGAAGTGTAACAATACAAAGAGAGCGAGAGTGCTAGAGAGGAGAAAAAGACGGAGCGATTTTCTAAATTTTCCTTTCCCGTTTCCTTCATAAAGTCTGAAGAGTATCTCGTACTACTCGACTATGACGATGCAACCGTGAAACTTCAAAGTGCTAGAGAGACCAGAGAGTAGATGAGAAGGGTAGAGATCGTGCTCGTGGGAATGATCGTCGCGGTATATTATCCTGCCACATTGATTTATCTCTTGCCGGTCGCGATATGCTTCTGTGTTTTGTGCCCCATTCTCCTCTAATGGGCAATAACGTGACGATGATCCGCGCAATTATTCCGCTTCTCTCAGTTCGCCCTCATTCGGCGAGAAGTGAGCAAAAAGTGTAAGCGGAGACCTCGGTTGCAGCCACTGCACCACTGACCTTGGTCTCAAGTAACGTCTTGGCTGAAGTGATTCAGGAATTGCACAGGGACTTCTAGCGCGCGTAACTTCCAACTCTGGCATTGTAAAATCGACCGCTGTCTCGAGCAATTCCCTCGACGTTGTTGGCTAGACTTGGAAGAATCGAGTGTTTAAACGTAATCTTCGAAAATCTATTCTTCAATGTTAACATATATGGTAACTGCTCGAGAGAATAAAGAAACAATTATCTTATTTTACATAGAATTTTAGACAAAGTAATTTTAAACAGAATTTCCTGAAATTCAAGAATTTAGTAAGCTTCAAATGTCATTTTTCGTATTTAAGAGTCTCAGATAAATATATGAAGATATTTACTTTTCTTTCTCTGTTATTTCTTCATACAAATTTCAATAGATTTTATTTTATATTTTTATTATGTTTCCTCTTTTTATGCATATACCAGTTAAATGTTGCTTTACAGATGCTTATTTTATCTCATTTTATAATTTGCGGTTTATTTTCTCTTACAATAATGAGGAATACAAATTAGTAGTAACAGATTATACATAGAACTGATCATTATATTAGTGTTGCGGTTTCTGGTTATGACAACAGTTATTACCGCATTGTACTTGGTTATCAGCAAATTACTGATACGTCAGTGCTCTAACTGTACCTGCAACATTAATATAATTGTGATAGCCACTTGAAACATTATCACACTCATATTATTATCATGTATCTTATATTTTATCTTGAGAAACATTTTATTTAGTTTATAGTTCTGCACTTTAACTCTTTTGAGTTTTTATATTTTTTCATCTTTTTCTCTTATAAAATGACACTTATTTGTGTAAAATATAATTGTTCATAGCATTTTCTATTATAACATTAATATTATCAAAACTGATGATATCAGTGCTGTTTATTTCATAATAATTCATGATTTATAATTCATAATGTCATTTATCAATATTTCTCCAATTTTCTCAAGGGATGTTCTTTGCAATTCAGAGTTCTCTATGTTTATTTTATCCCCGTTAATTATTTGAGGTTTCGTTCCGGTAACAATAAAATTCATGTTTGTCATATACAGACATATACGACCCGCATCCGTTTTTGAGCCGCGATACCTTTGCTTTGTCCGGAATAGCGTTATCGCTCGTAAAGATAGCGAGAGAAAAAGAGAGAGAGCTGTCTTCCCTCGTACCGGTTAGACCGCGGAAGAATATGTAGGTGGTTACCGAAGGACTTGGTGGGATATCAGGGGACCAGACGGCTGGTGCTACGACATGAGAATGCTCAAAGGAGAAAGGGATAAAAGAGACCGGGCAGACCGGGCCACAAACGAATACCGGCGAGCAAATGGCGGGCAATAGAGAGAGAGAAGAGGAAAGCCCGACGAAACACAGGACGAAGAAACCGGGAAAAGAAGGAGAGAGAGAAAGACTCTCATGGTGGGGTTGGTACCAGCCAGCTGAAGCACGTGGGCCTCGCTTTCGCGTGTCTCTCAGTAGTGCTCTCAGCTGCTCGTGGAGGATCTTCTCGCGCCGGATGTTCGAGGCGGATGTCGAGGATGTGACAGGTTGCCAGGACGTCGCGCGATCGTTACGAGTACTCGTCTATCTACCGAAGAGATGGCCCTCGAGATACTGCTGGCGTGCTTACTTATTATTGCGACAGCGTCGCCGGAGGATCATCATCGCTCGCCCTCGCACAGCAGCCACAGAGTCGTCTGGCCGGTCTGGTATCGCGACAGACTCCTTCATGTCAGACACGATCGTCAGGACGACGTTCGTGAAACGACCACTACGAGGGCCCCGTGGATCCCGTCGCGGCCGCAGCTGTCCGCGACGAGATCACCGCAGCAGATAAACCCCTTGGCGTCGAGGCATCATCATGTGGAGCACAAGCTCGGTGTTGTGATAACGGAGCAAGGTGATACCAGGGCGACCGCGTACGCGGGTTATCAGGGTAATCATCGGCATCAATCGAGAGAAGCTGTCACGCAGAGCTATCAGCTAGTTCCGACAACACCTCCCACGTACACCAGACATCATGCGGGGTGAGCGATAGATCAATTTCTACGGGACCAATATAAATGATGACACAATTGTGGAATCGTTTGTTTATTTCGTCACATCGCGATTTCACTTTCTTTTATCGCGTATTTTATGAGGAATGTTAGTCTGATTGAACAGAATGATATAGAGGTTCTTTTAAATCAGTTTTATTGGTGCTATTCAATTTGCGATGAATTATAATATAGTTTATACAGAATGCTATCACAATACAGAAAGCTATCTTGATGCATGAAACATACAAGAGATGTTTGCACACCGAGATTAGATCGCGATGCAGATTGAGTAAACAGAAAACAATGCATCTCTGCATGCGAAAGAATTACATGCCGTTGACGATTTGCATTCACTTTCCAAAATTGTCTCAAAAAAATAAACATGCGATCAAATATATCTTCATGTATTATTAATGAATGCTGTAAATAAAAAACTGCATTTTTTATATCAAATGATTATAAATGCATCTCACGAATCTTGAGATCAATTCCACAAATCTCTACATTCAAGGATATAATAATTCATAAAGTGCATGCATGAAAATGTCAAGCACAAACTTGAGTTTAAAAAAAAAATGAATTTTTTGCCAGAATGAAAAAAGTATAAATTGCTTTTATTAAAAATTTCTTCTGGCGAAAAATGAAGAAAAACGTGAATGGAGATAAGATTTGTCTAAAGAAAGACAATTCGATATTCCGGAGTAATTAAAGCGAGCAGGGCACGTCGTAAGTGGAAGTGAATGAACCGCGACGCGTAAATATACGGGGTCGCTAACGTGTCGCTGAATTACTATATTTACAAGCAATGAACGACACTCCGCGTCCACGCGATGATGTACGATCGTCGACTACGGAATAAGGCCGTGAACGCGGACGCGCCGCCGTTTTCAAAGGCGAGCCGCGAGCCGTTTAATTAATCGACCGATTCATTATCTCGCACGTAGCGCGTTTCTCTGTCGCGTACAATTATTGGGATTGTCTGACGGCGGATTCCTTTGCGCGCATGCAACACACGTGGATTAAAATTATCCGGATAAATGGTACTCTCTCTCTCTCTTTCTCTCTGTTATGCAGACTTGTAATCCCAAAGTGCCAATTAACCTGATTGGTCGCATCCGATCGTAAAACTTGTCTTTTGCAAAATTCTCTGCCTAAGCCGCTTGAATGCTCGTGTAGCTTTAAAAAAATTTAATAATGCATATAAAACTGGTTTCCGTGAGTGTATGAAATTTCCTGTTTTTTGATTGATTGCGGCAGCAAGTGAAATATAGTATTTCATTTCTTTATGATTTCAAAAATGATTAATTATAATATATACAAATAATATTTGCATATAATTTTTGCGCAAATAAAATTATGATTCTATACCACTTATAGAAGGAAAGAAATAGAAAATGATATTTCCGGGGACAGAACTTTGGCGTTAATTTGTCTACACTCGTGCGTTTTCATAACAGTCGCGCTGATACAGAGCTTTGCTCTGAGCAAAGGATGAATGCTGCTGATTTTCTTGGAAGAAGCAGCGTCGGATATTTTCATCCTCACCTCACATTTGTGTCTCACACTCGGCTCCTCACAAGCGACCATTAAGAGCAAATCACCGTAACGCGTAACTTTTATCACCTCCTGACAGCCACGAGATCATTCCGCTCTTCAGCGTGATTCGATGATTGCCCGTCAGAACATCTTGCGGCCGTTCACGTCCAGGCGCAGTAAAAAGCGCTCGTGGCAATATAAACACACCGGCGAAAGAGTAAACCGGTGTCTATACCACTCGAATATTATTGCACAGTGATTTCGTCATCTGTCTTTCGCCCTCTCGTCGTCTCTTTTGTCACGAACTCTCTGCTTACTGTCATAATTGCACTTTGGCGAACGAGACTAAACAGGATAAATATTGCGCGAGCCAGCTTCAAACGATATATACATATTCGCGATGACAATTAAATTTCTTCAACACTGTACAATTATATTAATAGTATATATTAATATAATGGAAGTAATAATTATTTATTTACGGCAACAAATAATTATATCACCCTCAGGCTACCTTCTCTCATCGGCTTCTAAATAAAATTTCTTTTCAACAGATCCAACATTTCATTATGTAAAACATATACATATGCTTGCGTCGAGCGGAATTAATATTCGACACGTACATATATAAGTGTGGAATCTCTATGGTTACTATTTAATTTGAGCGCAATAATTCGATGTTCTACCTTGCGAGTGGCGCGATCGGGTTGCCCAGATGCGTGCCTCGGGCTAAAAAATCTTGTAAACCTGTCCGAGATACCAGTGTGCGTGCCTCTCTCTCTCTTTCTCTTTCTCTCTCTTTGTATCATCATGCACATACAGTCGAACTCGCATGCACCTCGTGGAGGATTTCTCAACGATGCGGCTGATACGATGCGCCGAATCTCTCTCATCGATTTCGATCCATTGACGCGACGATCATAACACTTAAAACGCGATCTACCCATTTAAGATTGTCAGAAAAATTTGTGGATGACGTATTAACATTCGATACGTCACCTCGCAATTTTAATTCGGAATTATTTATCTCTTCTCTTTAAAAATGAAGAAAAAAATTATGAATTTAAAATCTATTAGGGATCAATAATAAAAAATAGATTAATCTTTCCTTGAAGTGTCTAATGTGACAATTTGAAGAGAAAGATGCTTTAGAAAATAGAGAGAGAGCTCGAAACTATTTAATGCATTAAAAAAAAAGAGATATGTACGATGATAATGCTGTACCAGGGTTCTCCTCGTAATTAACCGCTATTGTTGTACATATCTATTGTTTGAACGAGTAAGGAGATATGGACCACGGCATTCCTTACCGCCGGCCACGATTTTGTCTCGATTATTTATGTTGCTTCAGCTTGCGACACCTTTCGAGTGATCGATGAGCATCGAGCGAGAGAAACGCGAATAATGAATATTCAAGCTGTTCCGAGTACTCCAGATAACTATCCTGCAATGTCACTCTTGGGCACGTTTCACTGCTCGCTTATCGCTACAGAACTCAGCATCGATGGCTGATCGATGAGCAATGAGATTATAAAGAGACAGGTGTCATTCGTCGATGCAATGTGTTCTCGGTAACTGTAAGCGCGCGTTCCATCATCCCGATCGGAAACGTTAACAACTATTTTCCGATACCATACGCGAAGCCATAGATTATTGCGACTCGAATAAATATAACTGATAGGTACTCACACATATTTATTTACGTATTGTTTATAAAGTAAAAAAATTATCTGTATATATATTAAATAATTTTTTCAATTAGGGTAAATGCAAAATGCTTTATTACTTTAAGCTGTACTATTATCTAATTTATTTAATTTTTTCATTATCTATGAACAAATATATATTGTAGTATAGCAAAATATATTTATTAAAATATCGTCTGTCAATTTGTCAAAAATTTATAAAGTAAACATCAAATATTATTATATATTATTTTGCATAATATTATGCAAATTAAAGCGTCTTTAAAATAAAATTTTATAAAGTGCCAGTTAATAAGATCTTTTTCTATTTATTTTTTCTTGTAAAAGAAATGCATGCAATAACGTTCTCTCGAATTATAGAGAATTTGTTAAACAAATTCGCACGCGTGCAAAATAAATGCAGTGAAATTCATATATGTATTGAAGACAAAATATCTTTTCATGTTTCTTTTGATTTCACAAAATATTCAAATAACTAAAATCTCTAGGAACATATATTTATCACAGACAACGTAACATAGAAAGAATCTTTCCGCTTTTTTCGTCGCCTCGAGTTAAAGAGCTCGTTAGAACACGCTGAGCAGAAAATGAGTTGAGACACAAAGTATGTGACACTTCACTTTTAACGTCGAGAGGAGACATCCATTTCAAATTTTATCATGCGTTTGCAAGACATAAAATCTTAGTCTTCACAACTTGCATTTTTACTATTTTAATGGAATGTTTCCTACAAGATTTATATTTATACAATAAGTAAATATCTTCAAATGCGATAAATTCATATAAAGCTACAAACTCGAGTACTTCGGGTTCGCTTCATTATTCGTATTCATTCATCAATCGCCTGAAATAAGAATAATTATAATTAAGAAATATTCAAATTATACTTAAGTGCAACTATTTAACTCTACCAATCGATTGTCCTTTTGTTCTGAAACAATTTATTTCGCGCATGAGTAACGCAAGGGAACAAAGCACGCGATTAAACATACATATGTATTTGTGACTTTTTACAAAGCGTAACACGAGTGAAACTCGAATGAAACGTTGTTCAAACAACAAACAATGTTTCGAAGAAAAGATATTGAAACTCGACAGACTGCGTATGTCTCTTATCGGATGAGTATGATTTTCAATCCACGATTGTGATAATAACTGCAATTTCAGTCGCATACAAAATGCCGATTATTATCGTATTAGGTACTGTGGCAGAGTTGTTACGAGCGAATTTATAAATTTGCATAATGCCTTCATTTTCTTTGCATATATTTCTTTAACGATGAAATTTTTACATTTAAAGATGCATATCTTAAATAATGTACCTTTAAACTATTTTAATATTTTATTTGCTTTGAGCGAAAACACTCAAATAATTAAGATATTAATTATGTGTCTCTTCATTTTTTATGTCAGATCAATAGAAAATGCTAATTTTGCAACATATGGTTAATGTGCGCTTATATTTTTTAATATAATATTACACAATAATTTCTATAAAAAAAGTTAAAGTTCTAAATAATTTAATTAACACTATTCAGTACTAAACGTATGAATGTCTTGAAGTTTATATGCATACATAGACCTGCAGAACCCTTATGAAACATTATATTAATCATGCTTTCACTCGACGCACGTGCAAAGTCATTATTTAAATTAAAAGTACAGTGCTCCGTTGTACCTCGAGCTTCATGGAAGGCCGGAGATGCCGAATACATACATCCGCGTAGTGCATTGAAAGTAAACTGT